GAGAAGCTAACATGGTCATTGCAGGTGCCCTATACCAGCCTAAAACAAAATAATCTTTATGCAAGTCTTTGATAAATAAGATTCATATTGTTGATTTATGGCCAAACATACAAAACTAGAGCAGTTTCAATATTGCTAACCATCAGGGAAATGCAAATTAAAACCACAGTGATATCCTACTCGCCTCTTTCAGAAAGACCATTACTTTTTTTTTGGTCTGGGGCCGGGTTTGAATCCACCTCCAGAATAAGAGAGATCACTGCTGATGGATCTGCTCTGTGTCTCAAAAGTGGTTGTAGGTACACCAACCTGCATCTGTACAAAGTTTCACAGAGTTGAATACATACACAAAATAGCACAAGTGAAACTGGGGAACCTGAGTAAGATCAGTGTATTGTCTCAGTGTTAATGGTCTGGTCTGACTGTAGTTTTCAAGATATTGCTGTGGGAAAACTGGGTAAAACGTACCTCTCTCTGATTTCCTACAACTACATAAGACCCTTCAATTATCTCAAAGTAAAGTAATTTGAAAAATTATTTGCAAAAAAGCAAAAGCAACCCAAATCTGATGGCTTCCTGTTGCTTATAAAATGAGGTTCATTCAAATCCTTTAGCTTCAGACTCCCAGCTCCTTGCAAACAGATTTCAAATTCTCTTTTGAATCTGACCTTCCAGAAGGCTTCTGCACATACTGGCTTAATCACTGGCTGTTCCCGGGAGGCCCTACTGTGCGGCCCCATCCCTCACCATGCCCGCCTTGGCCCCCTCATGCACACCCCCAACGCTGCTCCCCAGGCCAGCCTCACCTGCACAGGGCACCTCGGCTGGGAGGACGCTCATGTACCTTTTCATCTCATCTTGAAGCCAGGTGCAGACTTGGTTTCTATTCTCCACAAACCTGTTATGCGTTTCTTGGACCAGACTGAGTTCTTTTGTCTCTGATCCCTCCTGGGTGCTAGAAAGCGCCAGTACGCAGCACCCGCGGAGGCAGCTAGAGGCTGGGGGCGGGGAGGGTTGGTCCGCTTCGCACTGCTGGAAGGCATCCCGAGGTGGGTGATTTAAAAAGACGTCTATTTGACTCTGGGTTCTGCATGCAGGTTGTACAGGAAGCACCACAACAGTGACTGCTTTCGGTGAGGGTTCAGGGGCTCCCAATGGCGGTGGATGGCAAAGGGGGAGCAGGGGAGTCTGGTGGCCAGAGGAGGAGGAAGATAAGGAGGTGGTGCCAGGCTCCCTTAAACAGCCACTTTCAAGTTAAGTGCTAGGCACTGAGTGGGGACTAAGTACTAAGTAGTGAGTGAGTGAGTGAGGCCTAAGTGCTAAGTACTGTGTGAGTGAGGACTAAGTACTAGTACTAAGTGAGAACTCACGCAGGGGACACCAAGACGTTCCCTGGGACTCTTTCCCACAGCACAGACGCCTCTCACCTGGCCGCACCCCAAGACAGGGGATGAAATTTGCACCTGAGATTCAGAGGGAACGAGTATCCCAACTGTATCAGGGCGCACAGGTGCTGTCCGCAGGGCGGAAGCACCATTTCTCATTTGCCCTTTGACTCTCTCCTCAGTTTCTTCACCTGGCAGCGGGGTGGTACCGGCGCGTGCTGATGTGTTAAAAACACCTCCCTCGGTCCCTGGCGCATGACAGACACTCAGAAAACACAGCTGGATTTTAGGGACCTGGTGTCTATTTCCCGTTCGGTCACAGACTAATTGTATGAACTCAAGCAAACAACGTCTTTTCCTCTTACATTTGGTTTCTTTATCTGTAAAATGGAGACAAAGTATTTAGATTTGAAGTAAGGTTGGATGATTAGTGTGAAACCACCTTTGCAACGCGACAGCACAACACTCAAGCAGGGGGCCATCTGTGGAGTTGGGGTGAGTGAACTAGGCGGTGCTGGAAACATTCACACGTGCCAACTGTTAGATCTTACCACCCTGCGGGAGCAGGAGGCCGCCGCTCTGGCGTTTCACGGGTGAGGCGCCTGGGCGCGGAGAGGTTAGTGGCAGAGGGGCGGAGGGATAGTAGCGTCAGTCCTCGAGCACGTATTTCAGACCACGCTGCCTTCCACTAGAGACCTCTGCAGGGTGTTGGACCTTCCTAGTTATTATTTGGGGATTCTGCTTTCTTTCAGTTTGCCGAAACTTCCCCTACTCCCTTTTAAAAACTGCAGAAAACTAACGGCAGTTGTGTTCCCATCCTTCAGAAGGAAAAGAGAATCTTCTTTACAGCTTTTGACTTTGGATCAGAGTTGCATAAAAATCCCTTCCCTTTTCCCACTTAAGTGTCTCCTCTGGCTCAAACCCGATCTCTTCCCAACCTGTCTGCCTTCTGCTGCTCTAAATAGCTCCCTGCTGCCAGAGGGATCACGTAGGGAAATGGGACCGCCAGATAAAACTCAGCAGCTCCTGGCGCCCGACCAGGCTCCAGCTCCATCCAAGATCAATAGCTTCCTCTGAACCCTGGATTGTTTTTCAACCTGTGGTCCTAGGCTCACCCAAGTTGGAATCTTCTGGAATTCTTGTTGGAATCTTCTGGAATTCTTGTTAAAAACACCTGTCCTCGGTGGCGCCTGTGGCTCAAAGGGGTAGGGCGCCAGCCCCATATGCTGGAGGTGGCAGGTTCAAACCCAACCCTGGCCAAAAACTGCAAAAAAAAAAAAAAAAAAAAAAAAAAAAAAAACAAACCTCTCCCACATCTACAGAATCAGAATGTGGGACCTGAAGGAGGGGGTGCCGGAGTTTAACAAGCTCCCTCAGATGATGCCAGTGCAGAGACTGGCTCAGGACTAACCTTAGAGCCACACTTAGCAATCATCCCCCCCAACCTATCACTTTTTCTCTCATTGTCAATTACAGTCTTCCTTTTCGCCTATAAATACACCTGGCTGCCTTCTGTCCTAATAATATGAGCTGGTACAATGTAGGGTTGTGGTGATGAATAATGTCAACACGTTTACAACCCAGCAGTACCTAGTACACACAATGCCTGCTTTGGCGACCTTTTTTCTTAGAGTTGTTGTAATTAATAAAGCCATAGTTCATGCACGTCTCAGTTTGTGGAGATGTGCGTGTCCTTTTTGTGATCCGCAGTCTCACCCAATTACACGCAGCTGTCGCACCTGCTCGGGCTCCTCTGGGTACGACAGCCTCCCAGGGCTTCCTTGGTTTCCACGGCAGTTTTGAGGAATGGTCTTTAGGTACTTTGTAGGGCACTCCTTGATCACAACCTGTCTGACTTAAAAAAAAAAAAAAATCATGATTAGGCCAAGGTTATAGGTCTCTGGGAGGAAGACCCCAGAAGCCCAGCACTGTGTTCCTTTCTCCATGTGTTTGTTGGCCATTTGTCTGTCTTCTCGTAGGGACACAAACAATGTAACCTAATTATCTGTGCCCTCATATTAATCGGAAATCTAAAAAAATTTTAAAATGTGCTGTATGCATTATGGCACATCCAGGGTGCCTGCCATCAACATGTTGACCCTGACCTCCACAACCTGGCTGAGGGTCTTCCAGCTTCTCCACTGCAGAGTTGCTCTCCTGCTCTCCACCTCATCAGAGGAAGTCACTGTGTGCAGCCCACCTAGGAAGTGGGGGTTTTGCTCCACTTCTTTTGAAAAGCCTCCGTCCACGTCTTTCGCCCTCTCTTTAATGGGTTGTGTGAGAATCACTTGAGCCCAGGAGTTGGAGGCTGCTGTGAGCTGTGATGCCACAGCACTCTGCCCAGGGCGACAGCTTGAGGCTCTATCTCAAATAAAATAAAATAAAATAAAATAAAAATAAATGTCCATTTTCTAGGGGTGTGAGTCCTTGAGCTTCAGAAGTGTTTCTCATCCTTTATTTTTATTTTTTATCTGTCTAGGAGAAATGGAATAGTACACAGGGCCCAAGCTGGCTCCTCACCTTCCTTTCAGGGAGATGCCACACTGGTGAAGTTGTTTTCCTATCTCTGTGCCAACAAACAAATTCTCCTACTTGGGGGATTAACTTTAGTCTCATCTTTCAGAATTAAGTCTTCAACTCTGTGTGTGGTAAGCATTGATCTAGTTTCATTTTTCTTAAATAATGGAGCAGGTGTAATAATGGCACTGGTTTCTCAGTGCCTTTTAACAATTAGCTAGCCATGGATTTATGATGGAAAAACAGTGTTGGGAGTTTTCTTCCAATTTTCAGGGGTTGGAGGAATGAGGAAGGATTTCATAGAGGATGTGTGGCGTCACCTGGGACAAACCTGGGAGGGAGGAAAGGACGCTCCTGGGGAAAAAGCATTCCAGACAGAAAAGCAACCCCAAGAGAGCCCGAGCCCAGAGGGAATCTATGAATGAAAAGTAGTTGAGTTGGAACCTCTTCCAGAAATCATCTGTGGACGAATTACCTCATTTCTTAGGTAGGTAGCGTGATTTGGTCAAGATTACACAGCTAGAAAGTTGCAGAGCTGGGGTTCAGATGCAGGAAGAAGGACTCAGCGCCCCATCCCCAGAAGACTGCACCTGCTCAGGGCGGCCCAGCCAGGCAGGCACAGGCCAGGATGAAGCCTTTCCTTGGGTCTCCCAGCTCCTCCACCTTCCATCCCTAGTATTAATTAGAAAGGGAAGTCTTTTCCATTTCTTCACAGGTTTACCATATCCCTAGCCTGTGAAGGAATGGAAGGTGCTTCCCTTTCTAATTAATGCTTAGAAATCCTGTGGAGATTTTACTGGAGTTGACAGAGTCCTCTGGGATCAAGGGACAAACGCTTCTGTAGGAACCAGAAGAGACCTCTTCTCAGGAGGCACAGAGGATTTGTAGAGTAGCACTAATTATGGCTCTGAAAAGCTGCCAGCATATTCTGCTGATTAAATGAGCCAGAATATTTCTTTGGAAACTTTCCTTTTGATGAGGTCTGTGCAAGTGAATACTTACGCCCTAGACTCCCAAGACTGCACCAGCCAACCGAACCCAACTCTCACCTTGAGGAAGAGAGTGGTGGGAGGAGAATGGGACGGGTGAGTAGGGTCTTTCCAGGCTGGTCACCTTGGAGTGTCGTCACACAGAAATTGGAAGTAAAAGATCAGATGTTCACAAAACAACACAAATGAGTGCTGAACTCACAGTTCCTCTTCAACCTTCTTAATGGTTCTGAGCATGAACAATACTTCCCTGGCCCTACTCCCAGTCTCTCTCAGCCACACCCGTCTACTAAAATGCCAGGGAAGAGTTGCCCACAAAGAGAGAAAAATTAGTAAAGTGAAAATAGCTGGCTGCAGTGGCACATGTATGTAATCCCAACACTCTGGGAGACCAAGGCAGGAGGATCTCTTGAGGTCAGGATTTGATACCAGCTTGAGCAAAGTGAGACTCTGTCTCTACTAAAACTAGAGAAATTATCCGGTATTGTGGCAGGCCTCTGTGGTCCTAGCTACTCAGGAGGCTGGGGCAGGAGGATCACTTGAGCCCAGGAATTTGAGGTTGCTGTGAGCTAGGCTGACACCACAGCACTCTAGCCTGGGCAACAGAGAAAGACTCTAGGTAAGGAAGTAAATAAATAAATAGATGATTGAACTTACCCATTTCAACAGCTCAATCTCCTCTGTAACTTACGAGTTTTTACTAAGTGTCATCTTGTTTCCGTTTTCTTGAAAGCAGTTTTTCTGTTTTGCTCTGGCAGTTCTAAAGCTATATCCCAAGTGTAGTTCTGTTCGTATTTTGGAATATTTCTTGGGTCTGTGAATTGATAACATGAATTGATATCAGTTATGGAAAATTTGAGCCATTATCTCTTGAAATCTTACTGATGCTCTATTGTCTGTCCTTTCTCCTGGAAATTCAGATCTGAGACTTTCCTGCCATATCCCTGCATCTGTCTTTTTTTCCCCCGCTTACTCTATCCCTTAATCTTCATGCTCAGTTCCTGTGGTATTTTCCTTTGATTGTTTCTAGTTGATCTGCTTTTTCCTCAGCTCTGTCCGATCTGCTGCTAAACAAATCCATTGACTTCTCAATTTCAGGTATTTTACTCTTTTAGCTCTAAACTATCCATTTGGTTTTGAAAGTTTCTGGATCTTTGCCAAAATGTTCATGTGTGATTTTATATTTTTAAATGCTGTGAGCACAACTACTTTAAGCTTTATGTCTGAAACGTATAGATCTTCTGTATGTGAATCTATTTCCTCCTGCTTCTGGTCTCTCTTTTGTGTTGTTACAATGTCACATGTCCTTTTTTTTTTGGCGGGGCTGGGTTTGAACCCTCCACCTCCGGCATATGGGGCTGGCGCCCTACCCTTTTGAGCCACAGGCGCCACCTAATGTCACATTTCTTCATGTGCCCAGTTATTCTTCACTGAGTGTCATACATCGTATGTAAAAAAACTAATGATATTTGAGGCTGGAGATGATATTGCCTTTTCCAGAGATGGTTTTGTTTGCTTCTGACAGGGGACTGGAAGCGTTAACAACCTCTGATCACCTTAATTCAATCGG